TCGAAGCGCCCACAGGTACCGCCTCCGCCGCGCGGCAGCAGCTGGCGGGAAAATCGGGAGGAGGCGCGTCCGACCCGAGCGCCCGGAGCCCGGCAGCCAATCCGCACGCACCACCGTCGGGGCGGTGGGCGGGGCCCCACCTCAGACGTGCCCCGGCGTCGGTGGGCGGGATCTAGTCGCCCCGCCCCACCCTCATGGCGGGGCCGGTGGGGCCGACGGGCCTTGAAACTCTGGGCAGGAAAGTTGCCGGGTTTGCGGTGGGCACCTTGGGAAGTCACCCGTCTAAGACGGAAGTGGCGAGCGCGGTTTCCGGGGCCTAAGCTGGAGCGGCGAGACTCACCCTGCGGGAGGCCGCATAAAACGTTCCCCGGAAACACCTGGCGCTGCGGGCGGCCCTGCGGTTGGACAGACCAGAGCCCAGGAATTGACTGTTACCGTTTCCTCTGGACGGTGTATTTATTCGTAGAGCGGTGTGCAAGGTGGCACTTGTGAATGTCAAGTGCGAGGCCCTTGTATTTCAAACCAGCTATCCACAAAACTTTCCGCCACCCATCATTGCTTCAACTAGTTTATGCTTCGTAATCTCTGAAGTAGATCGCTAAAATCCACAATCTTATATCAGAGTCCTTTGGCATAGGTGTTCGAAATTTTTTTTTTTTTTTGTATTTTAGAAACTGAGAACGTTAAGGTAATGTTTAGAATCGAAATCTGGGCCTTAGCAGCCCTAACACACTAGGCTCTTCCCACCCATCCTCAATAACTGAATAAAGGAGACAATAACAAAAACCAGAGAAAGGAGATTTATTCAATGGGGTCACATCAGGGAGAAAAGGAAGTTCGGAGGCCCCCCTCTAAATTCATCTTTGGGGTACTGACATGAGATTTAGGTTTAAAGAGAAACCAAAACGGCCATTGGGAAGGGATAATCTGGCCCAACAAGGCCTGTGCTCCAGTCTGACCTGCAAGGTTGACACAACAGGCTTTAGAAATATGTGAAACCTCTTTCCCGGAAACAAGTTTTCCTCTGGCCAACACCAGGATTCGCCTTCCTGCTTCCCACCTCGAAATTCCTGGAAAAATACCAGTTCCTTGGGATCCATTGTTTCAATTGCTTGATAGACAAAGGGGTTTAAGTGTCTCTCAGAAGGGCTTCCTCTTAGGTTGGTTACAAGACTTTTAGGAAATTAAAGCTCCTATTCAAATTCAAGAAAACTGTTGGAGCCAGGTGTAATCCCAGCACTCAGGAGGCAGAGGCAACTGGGTCTCTGAGTTCAAGGCCAGCTTGGCCAACAAAGTGAGTTTGAGGACAGCCAGGACTCTGTTATATAGAGAATCCTGTCTCCAAAAACCAAGCCACCCCACACACAAACACACACACAAAAGAAATTGGGAGGCTAATGATCCTATGGTCTCTTAAACCAGCTATAAGTAAATATGGAATCAGTCCCAACAACTTCACTGTGGCAAAAGGGTAGGTAAGACCCTCACCCCTTATTCTCAAAGGGGCGGGAAGAAATTTCCTAGCAGAATGTTTTCCCAGGAAGATAGTGGTCTTCCCCTCTTCCACCTGGGAGATTCCAAGTACGAGGTCACTTAGCCCAGCCAGCCAGCCACCTGGTGATAAAGAAAACAAGGAAAAAGCTGACTTAGTAGAATGGGAGGGAGCAAAAGACCTTACACCCGCGCCAAATGCCACAGAGGAGATACAACTCCTCTCTCTACCTCGCTATAGGGGGTCAGTAGACAGGGTTTCCAAACATGTTTGTGTTATGCTGATTAAACCTTGGTTATTACAGTCTGAACCTGTCTGGTGGTCTCTCTCTGGGGGGTCGTAATCTGGGCACAACAGGTAATAATAAGATTTGCTCTGACACTGGACAGTGGTGGCACACGCCTTTAACCCCAGCAAGGGGAAGGCAGAAGCAGGAAGATCTCACTGAGTTCAGTGCCAGCCTGGTCTACAAAGTGAGAGGCAGGGCTGTTACACAGAGAAACCCTGTCTCAGAAAAAAAGAAAAAAAAAGATTTGCTCTGAACTGGGCTGTCCTGGAACTTGCTCGCTCTGTAGACCAGGCTGGCCTTGAACTCAGAGATCTGCCTGCCTCTGCCTCCTCATTGCAGGGATCAGCAGAACACAAGGTTTTTGAAGGCAAAAATCACATTCTGGCAATCTTACTAGGCAGCTGTGTGTGTGTGTGTGTGTGTGTGTGTGTGTGTGTGTGTGTGTTTGACAGAAGCTAAAATAAGCAGTTAGCTGGAGGCAAAGTTTGCACAAGCAGGCAGTTTAACCAAAGATAGGTAAATTAGCTGGGACATTTTAACCTTGGGTTCATAGAATAGAGTTGGCTGGTTTTCCACCAGAGATCAAATTCTAGTTAAATCTGAAAAGGCCTCAGCGAGGATACAAGATGGAGGAACTTCTGTACTATCTTACCCTGTCACAGGACTAGCAGGTCATTCTTCAATCAGGTTCCTAAGGATCCTGTTCCTGATTCAGGAGATCAGAAATTAAGAAGACAGGAACCTTGCGATCAGGTCTGAATGAGCCAAAGACTTGTGCCAGCATATTTACTAAGTACAGCATCATATATATTATTTTTGAGGGAAAAAATGAACAGTCAGAAGAAAACCATCACACAGTGGGACAAGGTCAACAGAAAGTTAATCAAGTAATGTTGCACAAAAAGGACACAGGGTTTCTCAAGGGAATTACAGACCCAGCTCGCATCATTCTTGGTACTAATACCATAACCTTTAAGGGAAGGACTTGGGTTCCAGAATCAAAGCTTCCTCAGTGTCCTGGCCCCAGGCCATTAATGTTCCTGGTTTTACACAAGGAAACATATTCCTTCCCTAAACATCATAGCCTTCAGGAAAGCCTTAGGTTGGCCTGACTCCAACAGCTTCACAGCAGTGTCCCCTACACACACACACGCACATGTACACACAGGTACACACAGCTGTCACATTCTATATCCTACAGAGACATTTATGAGTCCCTCCCTAGCTAACTGACCTCCCAGGGCCACAACATTGACTTGGGAAGTGAGTTTACATCCAAGGGGTGCCATGTTCTGTGTTTAGTTCTGTGTTTACTCACTTCTGTGCCTCCTATCCGGTACCAGCTCTTGCTATGAAAGCTTCCATTCCCAGAGAGTTGCTAGAAGAGGCTCTTTCCTCTGACAGAATGGCTTTGGTTCACTTCAGAGACCCCCACCTTGCTGTCTGTCTCTGGTCCTGGGGCCTGAGCTCTCCTTCAAGCCCCTGCCATGCCATTGTCCCTCATTCTGTCTGTCTACGCCATCAACTCTTCTAATAAACTCCTAGTTTCCTGGTAATCTGCCTCACTTTCCTTCTTAAGTAAACCCTACCCAAAAACCTAACCCAAACCATCATGGCCAAATAAATTAAGCCAGAGGTCCCCCCTCTCTCTCTCTCACCTCATAGAGGTGGATTTCTGTGAGTTCAAGGTCAGCCTGGTCTATAGTGTGAGACCCTCCTCCCTTATTCTCAAAGGAACGAGAAGAAATTTCCTAGCACTCGGGAAATTTCAAAGCACAAGAATACCCAGCCTTCAGGTGGAGACTGATAAATATGTCCTGACCCCGGGACAGGGTGACCTTGCTCTAAAAACAAATGCAGGATGAGAAAGAGCAAAGACCTTGCACCCATGCCAAACCACCACCACCCCCCCAGGGTCCTGAAGGACTTGTAGTTTTTGCCTTTAAAAAAGCTAACCCCACAGAGGGATTTGAGCTCCCTGCCTCGCTGTGCCAGAACTAGCCCATATTAAGCTAACAATAAACCTTGCCTTTTGTAATCTGGGCTTCTCTGGTATCTGGTGATCTCTCTGGTCTCTCTGGGTGTCGTAATCTGGGCACAACACATAGAGCTAGTTCCAGGACAGCTAGGGCTGTTACACAGAGAAAAATGAGAGAGAAATTATTTATTTAAGGATGATACAGCATATGAGAAAAGATCTCATATAATTAAACTGGTTACGACCAAATAGTTACTTATAGACTTTTTCTAAGATCAAAAAATACTGCGCATTGCTGCATTAAGGCAGGCTAGACAAAAAACAGCATGAGGATAAGAAGAGGGATTCTGAATGAAGCCTCCACTAACTCAGAAACAAGAAGCCTTGCACAATTAGCATTTGCTATAATGGCCACCAACTTTGCCTTAACACTGCTTTCATATACTGAAGGCCATCCTCCCTTCCTGAGATATCTGGAACAAGAATATAGAGCAGCTAATGAGCTAATGCTAAAAGCTAAAGGTTCCTAAATGCAGCCACACCCTTCACCCACACAACTGAACAACGCACCACCCCGATCACCTTGCACCTTGCAACTTTGCTCACCAAGGGAAATAACTCTTCTTCTTCTTCTTCTTCTTCTTCTTCTGCTGCTGCTGCTGCTGCTGCTGCTGCTGCTGCTGCTGCTGCTGCTGCTGCTTCTTCTTCTTCTTCTCCTTCTTCTTCTTCTTCTTCGATTTTCGAGACAGGGTTTCTCTCTGTAGCTTTTAGAGCCTGTCCTGGAACTAGTTCTTGTAGACCAGGCTGGCCTCAAACTCACAGAAATCCGCCCGCCTCTGCCTCCCGAGTGCGCCACCAACGCCCGACGGGAATTCTTTAAGAGAAAAACCAGTTTATATTTTTCACTTAACATTTTTACTTAATTTAATTTTTACTTGTTTGTGTTTGGGTTAAGGCTTCACCCTAGCCCCTGGCATCCATATACCCAAAGAGTCTGGAATGTTTGGGTGGAAGTTCCATCTCAAACCCCCTCCCCTGGAAGTTGCCTCAGTCCAGACTCCACCTCCTAGAAAGCCTACCAAATGATGACCCCTCCCCAGAGATGCTCAAGACCATTCCCACAGGGAACTGCCCCCCAGAGAACAAACTCATGCTTTTCTGGTCTTCCTTCCCGGTCTCATCTCTGTGGAGCTGGAAGGCCACCCAGGAACATTGGTATCCACTAAACCTGGGCTTCTTTTAATTTGGTTTTATTTGGTCTGATTTGGGTTGTTGTGTTGGCAGAGAGCTTTATCAGGGTGCCAAAACTTTTCCATTTGTTTATTTATCTTTGAGATGGAGTCACACTGTGTATCCCTGCCTAGCCTGGAACTTGCTCTGTAGACCAGGCTATCTTCAACTGACAGAGATTCGCCTGTCTCTGTCTCCCAAGTGCTGGGATTAAAGCCATGCGCCACTACACCTGACCTTTGCTTATTTATTTGTTTCTTTGTTTGTTTTGAGGCAAGTTCTTATAAACCCAGGTTGGCATCACAATGGCTACATAGCAGAGGATGACCTTGAACTCCCATCCCTGAGTGCTAACATTACAGGAGTGCATCACTGCACCCAGTTCACAGTTCTGTAGATCAGAAGGCTTGGTACATGTTAGACAAACATCCTACCAAATTCCTAGCCTACTTTTCTTTCAACTCCCTCACACCCTCTGTCTTCAGACAGCCTTACTGTGTATCCCTGACTGTTCTGAAACTTGCTTTACCTACCAGGCTGGTCCTCTACCCATAGAAACACATGCCTCCGCCTCCTGAGTACTGGGATTAAAGGCCCGCACTACTTCTAGTTCCTGGGCCAGTCTTTCTAAACTTTCTTTCTTTCCCAATTTGGACAAAAGTGTGTGTGTGTGTGTGTGTGTGTGTGTGTGTGTGTGTGTGTGTGTG